ACATATACAATTTTATTACGTATGCAAAATTAGGCAATCTACATGTACATATATATGTGTGTGCACTCACTCCTATGACATAGAACGACAGTGCAGGCTATGTAAAGTCGCATGAATGTGTGTCACCCGGGTGTGTACATGCATGCGCGCTCGCGCGGGCGTTTTGTGTGCGCGCCTGGCATGGCATAACGCCGTTCAATATGACTAGTGTTGAACCGTGGTAATTTGCCCCACCCCCGCTTTTTTCTGCTGGCGTTGGATATGCAACTAATGACATAAACTCGGTTGTTGAAAACGAGTGCCATGCACCACAATGGATTGACAATAATATAATACAAGTAGCACTGTAAAAGCGCTGGTAATACTCATGTTGCAGCCATGGCAGTTGTGATTAGCTTTCCAAGTCAAGCCTGGTGCAGAAATTATTGCACTCTGACCAGCTGGAGTGGCCCAGGACTGCCGGTTGTGGAGAACAGGAGTGATGCTTGTATATACGCTTGTATTTACATGATGTACGCAGTGTACTTCGAAGTAACGTTAGGTGTATTACTTGTGTGTTCTTCTGCCTGTGCGCGTGTATATGTGCTGGTCAGTGTGGAACCGCCATCCATATCAGCTCATGCAGCTGCTATCAGTCTCAACAGCTTGTATCTGGCAAATAGGGTTTTAGTGACTCTATTTTGCTTACTGTGTTCAACATTGCACACAGCTACTTGATGTAATAGTAGCATCTTGGAAATTTTATATTTTTGATAGTTAGCTTCAGTAGAAACTTCTCCAGTGTGGCTCTTAGCTTCATTACCACGGAGACTAAGCATTCAAGTAATGCACGAAGAACAGTGGCTAGATGTGAAGTGAAAAGCCATTGGACCGTACCCCGTGGAATACGCATTTAGTATAGAAGTATTTCTTGCTATGTTGGCAGCAAACACTGTATAATATAATAATTACATTACCAGTAGAAAGTGCCCAATGTGCATTGCTTCAGCACCATGTTTTGGACAAAGCAGTCAACAAATTCCACATCACTATCGGCTTCATGTTGGAGAAAGTTGTGAAGAACACTAGAGCATACATGTACACTCAATACACATGCTCAGCTACATGTATGGCATTTAGTATGTGGGCGACTTCAAAGTTCTATTTTGGTAGTTTGTTTCGGTAGAAACTGTTTAAACTTGATCCAAAGCTCTACTACTATGTTCTGAAGATGTAGCAATCAAGTAATGTAAGACGCGTATCTGCCGCATTGGAGCTAGTTGTGAAAACCTTTAGACCATACACTCAATGCACATGCTCAGCTATGGCATTTAGTATGTGGGCGACTTCAAAGTTCTATTTTGGTAGTTAGCTTCGGTGGAAACTGCTAAAACTTGATCCAAAGCTCTACTACTATGTTCGGAAGATGTTGCAATCAATTATTGTAAGGCACGTATCTGTCATATGGTGGAGCCAGGGGTTCTAAGGCGTTGGACAATGTCCCAGTGCAATGTGCTGATTCTTGAAATATGGCATCACTTGAAACTTCAAAGTTTTATTTCACGAGTTACCTTCGGTAGAACTTGCTCAAACTTGCTACACAGTACCACTATTAGGTTATGATAGCATAACCATCAAATACAGGGCAAGTCCAGTGTCAAATACTTGTGGGCGGGGCTAATTTGTGGGACATGTGCGCTGAAATGGGATGATTCCGAAAAGAGAAAAAAGGTCACCTTCTAGCAGAATTCTACCCACTTCTACAGCTTATGCTGATATTTAGCAAGTATACTACTGTCCTGATGTTGGACATCAAGAAAAAGGGGGTAACTACCAGTGCTACGGCCAAAAAAGTGGTTTTCCGGTATTTTTTGGCCTAAATTGGCAATTGTGAGTATGCTATCTTTGGCCCCTCCCCCGAGTGAAACCGGCCGGTAGAACTTGATAAAAATTTGTCTCCGTACACTAGATATCCAACGGAACAAAGTACAATCGTTGTAGCCACGTTTCAAACAAAACAAATTTGGACCCGAGGGGTAGGAGCCACCGTGCTGAGTCGAATGGTCTTGGTCCGAGAAAGCTGAGACGCTCCCTTCCCAGTGGCGTGCACCGAGTCTTGAAAAGGGGGTTTCTAGAGTTGATAATTTTTCTTCTGGGGCCCCATTATATAATTACGTATGAATTTTGTGCACATGCGCATCCCCCGAACATCCCGTTGGAGATAACCATGTATAACGGCGAGGGCAGCCGGCTAGGGAGGAGGGAGGGGGGGACTCAAGATCAGGGGTGCAGGGCACCAATGAACCGTGACTGGTGCTGATGAGATGGGGGGGGGGCTCGTCCGACTGCTATCATCAGATCATGCCGGCACAAACGCGTCTGAAAGGGAACCAGGTACAGGGGTAGAAAGGACAGAAATAAGAATAAAGAGGAATGGAGGGAGGGGACGATGCCGGTTACATGGAAATGTTGGTACATGTATAATCGATAGCAGGATAAAACGGGTTACCTTTTACATACCAGCACTTCAAAAAGCATTTGCAAAAAGGGTGCAAAAGTCAATGTACCCATATACATGTTTGTCATAATTATTGAACACGTAAAGGTTTGATAAGCCTAGCTGCCCAGGCTACACTACAGTCTATAACACTATGTCTATCAGACTATGGTACTTCACTAGTCCACTCCAGGCTTGTTTGTTTCATCAAAACACTGCTTACATTCGACGTCTCTTTCTTTCTGTTCTTATGACGAAGTTTTCAGCGTGTATTGGCAATGTTCCACATGATTTCAATAGAGAGTTATGGACCTTGCTTCGATGGAAGCTCGCGGAAGAAAAGCGAAGCCCCGCGTCCTTGAGTCGCGGCCGGAGCAGCGCTTCGTTCTGAAGCAGCGCAAATGGATCATGGACGCACATTTTTACGTCTTCCAGTCGACAAAGTTTTTGACGAACATCTCTGCTGCGCACATGAGCGAGAACGAAAGGCTGTGGCGACTCATTCTTGATTTGAGTCAACGGTTCTGAAGGAGATATCGTCAATCATATCCTTGAACTGACTTGCATCGCGCGTGCTTGACTCAAATTTCGAGACAAAACGGATTTCTTGAACGTCATCGCCAATCCAGGAGCGAACCAGAGCTAGAGATTGATCCCTCCGTTGCTACTCTCCACTGAAGAAAAAGAGAATAATGTATTTCGAACTGCATGCAAAGCAACTCTCTCTCACTTCGAAATAAGGATATAGTCACTGTACTGTAAACTGCCCGTCGATCGATGCGTTTGCAGGATCGATAACCAATCCAGTACTACACGCTTTTCTTTTGGCAAGATTGCCCGAAAAAAGGTGGTTTCCAGACACCAAAAAACTCATACGGTGCACGCGCCTGCTTCCTACTTGAATCCCAATCGAACTCGCGCACTTCCACCGAAACTGGGTGACTGCGCCCTACTAGACGGGGATTTGTATGCAAAATGTCACTAAAAGCGCCATTTCGTTCTTATAAAAGCATGGATGACCGCGATTGGCCCATATGTTGTAGTCTTTTGGACGCTGAGTCGATTGGTTTTGGTCCGAAAAGGCTGCAATGCAGCGTTCCTCCTTTATTCCCAATCGAACATGGTTGAACAAGCGGTCACGTGCTCCTGCGTACACCAGTCACCTGGTCACCGTGCCCATGGTGCCTGCAGGGTACAACTTACTGGCCTGTTTGACCTTTTTTGGGTGCACTCCTGGCACTCGAGTTGAACCTTAACGGCCTTGGTGTGAAAGTAAGTTGTCGCCTGCTGGCGTGCACAGGTAATTTGGGCACCCACATTTTGCATACAAATCCCCATCTAGTAGGGCGCAGTCACCCAGTTTCGGTGGAAGTGCGCGAGTTCGATTGGGATTGAAGTAGAAAGGGAGCGTCTCAGCTTTCTCGGACCACGACCATTCGACTCAGCACCCCGAAGACTACAACTGGTGAAATTTTAATTAAGACTTGTTGCTCCACTTAGTGGACATGGACGTCGTTGGCAGCACAGAGCAGAGGATCGCAAACCGGATGAAGAATGGATACTGTTCTCCATCCATGATGAAGGGATCAAAAACCGTTCAACACAGATATTGCGCTACATCGTCTTGCCTGGATGTATGCGGTGGTGCCGCGCCGATGCATATCGCGTCCATGACACTGTTTACAATCATCTGCTTTCAGCCTTTGTTCACATAAAATATGATGCACCGTAGCTAGCTGTAGTTTTAAAATGATTATAATGTTACCGCCACATTTACTGATTGCGTTTGCGGAAATAATATTATGAATTCCTAAAAATAATATACTACAAAATATACTAGGTCTACTACTAGTACTCCTCAATCTACCACACAAAGGACTGAATGAAGTAGTATAGGGAAATAATCATCCCATGATCTTCTACAATGTGAATGCTTCCACGTACGCATGAATTGTGCAGCCTAGCACCCGAAACTTCAACAAAACAATGATTCAAAGAGACGTTATTCAAGACAAGTCATGCATTCAGTCTACGTTCACTGGTATTATAAATCCAAAGATTCCGTTCAAGGCAGCTGCCATGGTGTGTACCTTACCACACGTTGTCAGTCCGCTCATTGACTAGCATGAAATCGTTTGTAGTGATGATCAATCTACAAAACACTATTGTTAAAAACAATCCAGAGTCACCTCGATGGAGACGGACAGTTCCTACGAGACCTGCCTGTCGACATCAGGGTCAAGTGGCAAGTCATTTAGCCGTTACGCACGACAATCTCAGGAACACCAGTCATGTCCTCCTCCAACGAACCAGCTATGTTACTTCAGAACTCACAAAGACACAAACAGAATGAAATAAAACAATTAATTATTTAAATGCTTCATGGACGGAGTGACTTTGCGTTTTTTGCTTCGTGTTTCTTTGTGTTTCTCTTGAAAATCTAGCAAAATTGAGTCATTCGCATGAAAATGTCTGGTTACGTCAGCGAAACCCACTGATTTTCCCCCATTTTCAAGCGCTGAACGGCGCAAATACTGTGAAATCACGGCAACGAAAATTATTTTTAAAATAGTGTTCGACGCGTGCGCGTCGACGAGCGAACAAACCTCCTTGCACCGGCATTGGTGCACAGCTTCGGGACGGCCAAGTAGTTCTCAAATCGTCCTCTACGCTCTAGAGACCCTTACCTACCTCTGTGCGAAGTTTCAAGTCCTCCCTCTGAAGTGGCATACCCCGAAAATAAAAAGCATCCTACAGATTTCGGATCCCCGACTAGAACTTAGAGTTAGAAGCTGATTTCAGCAATGAAAATGTAGCTGCCGTTCTTGGAGGTCAAAGGTGTGCCGTTGGCGGATCTGCGGAGTTCCCGGCGGCGTCTCTCCTGAAGGCGCAGAAACTATTGCGTGATGCAGTCAAGGACAAGGATAGTGGTGTGCAGATCAGCGGAGGTTTAGGAATAAATAGTGAAATAGGCGGACTCATTAATTTGTCTAACTTACTCTGCTGACGATGGATGAAGTAGGATTGAAAAAGACAGTAGTAACGAACACGATGGCGTTTAGCGGTGCAGGCAGCGGCAAAGCTACGATTGCCGGTACTATTATGGTGGAATACCGGAGGGTTAAAGATTTGATGCGGAAGGCCGACAATCGTGGTATTGTCCTTGCGTCGCCACTGTTTGCTGAGCGGCAATACCTGGACTTGCTGCGTGGTCATGCACAGGAACAGAACGGCACCTTCTGCAAAGGTCTCTTTGAGCTACTGGCAAGCCTGGTCACTGAGGATGGTGAGTGTATGGACGAGGACAAGACCAGAAGAGTATAATTATGCACATCCTCTTCTTCTATTTTGGTGTCTCCCATGTACCAAATGTTGCCTTGTTACGGGAGGCCGTAGGGAGGTGTGCGAAGAAACCTTTCCAGAAGTTAGTTCCTAGGTTTGAACCCAATATGTAGAGGGAGAGGGATAAAGAGAGAGAGAGAGAGAGAGAGAGAGAGAGAGAGAGAGAGAGAGAGAGAGAGAGAGAGAGAGAGAGAGAGAGAGAGAGAGAGAGAGAGAGAGAGAGAGAGAGAGAGAGAGAGAGAGAGAGAGAGAGAGAGAGAGAGAGAGAGAGAGAGAGAGAGGATCAGCCAGAGATTGAGTTGGAGTGAATGAAGGAAGGCCTGAATCTGTCATAGGTAGCTCTACTTATCGGCGAACCAGCCTGTAGCATGCACATTTCGATTTGTTAAACAATAACACTAATACGGATCGAGAACCAGAAGGGTGTGTCCAGAACCACCTTTCCTCTTCCATGGAACCTCGCCACGCCATGATCAGGCGTCCAATGCCGCAGCTCCAAACTGTGGGGCAGGGTAGATAAGGTAGACGAAATCGTGTGCATGTATGCGTGTGGGAATGTGCATGTGCGTGCGCACGAGTGTGTGTGTGTGTGCGTGTGTGTGTGTGTGTGTGTGTGTGTGTGTGTGTGCGTATGTGTGTGTGTGTGGGGGGGGGGGAGTGGGGGAGTGTGTGTTCCTGCACGTGCATGCTTGCAGGCACGTACGTGTGAACATGTGTGCACTGGAGCACACGTGCATGTGCTTCAGTACTGGTATACGTTCAGGCCCTTCGCACCGACGTTGGAGGTGGGGCGGCCATGGAAAGGGGGGGGGGGGGGGGGGGGTGCGGGGGTCCTCGCCGGGAAAAAAACTTCAAAAATTGAAGCCAATTTCAAGCATTTCCGGGCATTTGGTGCCATTTCAGTGTACGGTAACTACAATGAAAGTCTTTTTGATTCTGCAACAAACCAAGAAAACGCTACGATCGGGGACAAACATTACCCTCCCCCGGGAAAAAATTCACAAAAATTGAAGCCAATTGCAAGCATTTCCAGGCATTTGGTGCCATTATCAGTGTTAGCAATGCAAGACTTTTTTCTGCAACAAACCACGATCGGGGGGCCGGGGACAAAGATTTGTCACGTTTGCGCTAAGCTGCGATCATCGCGCTTTGTTGTAAAATGCTCAAAAAAAAAAAAAAAAAAAAAAAAAAAACGGCCGAAAAGGTGGGGCAGCCTCAGCTGCCCCGGCTGTGACGGCCTTGACGTATGAACCTGTGAACAGAGATTGAGTGTTACGCTCTCTCGCCTTGACTTGGTTCGGCACTTATTTTCTGGCTAGTGTTGAAGGCGAATGTGTTTGTCATGAGTAGAGCACTCTGACCTTGACACTTTCACCTGATTAAAACATACGAAAGGGGAGATGGGGAGACGGAGACAAAGACGAACGAAACGACTACATTATGGAAGAGAGAGAGAGATTGAGTGAGGGCGGCAAGATAAAGGGCCTGGGTAGCTATGGCAGATATGGCCGCGCAAGTAGCTACCCAGGCCAAGGGAACAAAAGGTGACAAAAGGAGACAAAGGGTGAGTACGAGGGTGCATGCAGGCCAGCTTGGAAAAGGTTGTAGAACGTACGGGAGGAGGTACCTAACAGTACACTTGAGTTCATTGCCATAGGATCGGCCGCTCACTCGAGCTACGTTAATGACACCTAGTGAGGCCGAACTTGGTAGTTTTCCGGAGATTGGGTATGAACCTTTGTGTATATTTTGTGTGTTGTATGCCTTGTTAATATGTGTATACAAGAATCAGCTACGTTTCAATTTCGCCTGACGCAAGAGGATATCTCGGAAGCTGTGAAGGTGCTCACTATGTACAAAACTGAACTGTCGGTGGTGGATTCCGTTTGTAACTTCTTGGACATCGCATTGAATCGGCCATCACCCAGGGATGATGGCGAGCAGGGTATGTGCGTGTGTGTGGTCATGTGTGTATGTGTGTGTTCGTGTGCATGTGTGTGTGTGTGCTTTGCGATTTCTCTCTCTTCTCTTCTCTCTTCTTGTCGTTGTCTCCCGCTTCTGGGAGCGGCGTGGCCCGATAGGGTAGCTGTACATAGTAGTAGTAGTAGTAGTAGTAGTAGTAGTAGTAGTAGTAGTAGTAGTGTGTGTGTATGTGTGTGCATGTGTGTGTGTGCGCGTGTGCGTGTGTGTGGGTGCGTGTGTTCGTGTGTGGGTGTGTTTGTGTGTACGTGCTTGAGAGAGTGAATTAATGTGTCTGTACGCAAGATTATAAGCTCCTTATGTACTTGGAAGGACTTGATAAAGCCTCTCTTTCTCATCACGTAAGGTATTTGCAGGTTCGCCCGGTTTCTCTGCAAATTGTTATAGTCATTGTGAAACTGGAAGGCCTAACACGAGGCCAAGATAACCCCAAACCTGCAATTTTCACCCTGAGCACCCTTTTCACATGCTCTGCACCATTTAGATAAAAGTTTGTGATTGTGGAGCATGTTCCTAGTATAGTTAAAGAATGTTCCGAGTACTCCAGTTTCAGAAATTGTCGGTGCTGAATATGTTCAGTATGAGGGGAAAAGGTCAGGTTTGGTAAACAGAAGTTTTCGGTACAGAGTGGCAGTTCCCTGTTGGATTGTGTGTGTTAGTGTTTGTTCGGTGTATTGAAATTTTAGGTATGAAACAGATGCACCGAAAGTACCGAAAATACAAGTAAACCGAAAATTTGTGAAATTACAGTACTTTTTTTCATTTTTAGCATCATCCGTTAGCGTCAGGCTACACTCCCACTCGGCACTGTCTTTGCTGCGCGCCATACTACTGGCCCGCGTCTTCTGGGCGCTGTACTGCAACCCCGGCAGTTCATGAAAATACACACATGTTCTATTCCATGAACATGTTTTCCCTGGAGATCGTTTTCCACCACAGTACCCGTTCTTCAAAGACAGGGGTGGGGAAGAGGCACAGCTATAATGATAAAAATTGTGCGAGTGTGATAGAACAAAATGATCGCGTGTGTGAATTATTGTATCGTTGATAATTTGTCCAATCAAAATATTTACTCTGTGCTTTGCACGTTTTGTATCTTGTCTGCCAATCTTTCTCCCCAGTTCCCATCGTGGAGCTATGTCCGGGAAGGGAGTGTATCGAGATATGCAGGAGCTTTGTAAACATGATGGAGCACGTCGACAGGACCAAGCTGAAGAACAACGCCATCAAACGTTTCACAACGCTCATCCTGCACATGCGCGGCATCATCCAAGGTAGGATCCCGAATGGCTTCGTGCCGTTACGGAGGGCAGGCTTGCTTGCATTTTGCCAGGGTGCCAATTGTTCAAACTCTACTTGACCATAGAGGGCTCTTGTTAGCAAAATATTAATGGCTGTATCCTCCCGGTGCTGTCTAGTTTGCTCGCAGGGTTTTGACTTGATACAACTCTTCCTGCCGAAGTAATCAACACGAATGCTCTCCAATCGCCCTCCCCCGACCCCACCCCAATCCACCCCAATCCACTTCATTTTACAGAGTGCTGTGATGATGTACGGTTAGTCTAGAGACTGTTAAGAGTATAATTTCAGATGTTCTGTTATGATGAGTGGCTACAGTGGAGTGTTCGCGTCTTGACAAGCGTGTCCGTGTTCTGTTGTCTTGTTGTCATCTGCGTAGAAACCGGAGCAATGCAAGCAATCACCGAGTTGAACATTGACGTGTCGCTGTCCAAAGTCCTGTGTTACTTGGAGCCCTCCCGGAATCTTGTCGAAGTCTGCGCCAAGCTGCTCAAGTTTTTCGTCACAGATGGTGAGGCATGATGCATGAACTGTGTCAGTCATTGGCCATCTCTTCATGCGTAGTCTACCTATTCTATCAGCAAAGCGTTGTCAAAATATTTATTGTATCATAGCGGTTTTCATTCAAGCTTGCAGAGAATTATGTGTTCAGACACCTCTGCGGCCCAAACAAGTTTTGGCTCCCTGTTGTGACCATGTTTGCAAGGTATTGCAATACCTCATTTCCGGCACGTAATTGTAAGATTACTCGTTGCTTGGCAACCACAGCCCTGTTATCTTGAAAAAGCCTGTTTTCTTTTATGGTTTTTCCTCACAATCAGTATTTGAAAGGCGCATTTCGAAAATTGTGCAGTAAACCAGTTGAATTACAACCTCACATATCACAACAGCTCGCGAAGAACGACACAGTCTTTATCATACTTTCAAACTGCACACTTTCAACCTTGCGAACAACGCCGAAGAAACACCAAGCATACGAATACATGAAAGTGTATTATTTTCCTTTACGTTGTGTGTTTTAGATACCTTGAGGCATGCGCGTCGCCAGGGAGTGTCAGCCGCAGTTGTGCATGAACGAGCAGACGCCGCCCTTGCCACCTGTGTTGAGGGTGAGGACGAACAGTGGGCGGACAATCCTCAAATGAGAACAGCAGTGCGGGAGCTGCTATCTGCATATGGTACGTAGAGCATGCTTTAGCTGTCTGTTTGTTTAGCTATACTCTATTTCACCACAGGCACAGGCAATATCTGCCTTCTCACTGGGCGTATAGCCACAGTGCTCGCCAAATGATGGGCAGTGATCTCTGCAGTTTACTGGATAGCCGCCAATTCTGAAGAGAAGAAAATATTGTGTAGCCTGCGATGGCAGTGCGAGTATGTCATCTTTTTTTAGTAGGATACTCAACAAATACGAATGCAGCGATGGGACAGAAACTTCAACAAGGATAAGAAAACTGTGAACGCAGTCGTTGGCGGACACAGAGCAGCACGAACAGTCCCGGTCAATGAAATCCAGTCGTATCACTCAATTTTGCGCCTTGCACCATTTTGCAGCCTAGTGTTTGCAGATCCAGGACTGTGCAACACCCGGTGGGTACTTGAGTGACGCGACTGGATTTCATTGAGCACTGCACTGTACTTACAGTCTACAGAGTTCTGGTGTTGTTATTTTCTCTTCTGCTGATGACGGTCAAATGGAGACTCAGCAGTGTGGAATTGCATGCAAGTACTGGATAAAAATGTTGAACAGTCTCTGCTGGGATGACGACTACACCATAGCTCAGTACTTAGAGCATCGCTTGCCTCAAGCTAAGGTCCTTGGTTCGAGTCCTGGTGGTGACAGTCAATTTGTTCTTCAGACATTTCCCTTTTGCAACTGTCCCTCAAACCTGTGAATATAGCCAGGCTGGTGATGTTTATGCTCTGCTATTCTTCACTCTTGTTCTGCTATACAGGTTACATCCCTGCCTCCTCTCTAGTTACTCCTGCGGCAGCTGATTCCGCCGACGTGACTCTCACAGCTCCCACTTCTGCTGCTACTGCTGCTGCTGCTGCTGCCACCTCGACTTCTGCAACTGCTGCCCCTGCTGCGGTGTCTCCCGCAGCTGCACCTGCTGCCATAGCAACGTCGTCGCCCGACTTGTCGGCTGGCACACGATCTACATCTTCTGGAGGTGAGTGACTGTTGTTGTCGTGCAATGGCGTTATACACATATTGTAGATGTACTCTGCGTGTGTGTGTGTGTGTGTGTGTGTGTGCATGTGCGTCACAGGGCGGTTGGATGTGGTACAACGGGGGGTCGGGGGGGGGGGGGGGGTCCTGCGGAGAAAAAATTCGAATTTTTCGGCCAACAGGGCACGTTTTAGCACTCTACAGCCGCAAAGGAGGGTTCCCCTAGCACTTATTAGACAACCCCCACTCCAGCTCAAAAACACGCTTCTCATGGATTTTTTGGTATTTTCTGTACATCATAGGTGGCCAAGGCAAAAAAGGAAGCCATTGCCCTCGAAAAAATCGCAAAATCTAAAGTACACTGTACAGTTCTAGCGCCAGCCGCTGTGCAAAAACGTAAGTCATGTCCTGCGAAAGTGCGCCACGCCGCATGCAATAGTCTATGTACATGATGTACACGGCCGGCCCGCAGACAGTCGCGAAGTACTAGTAATAATGTTAGTTCTTTTTAGAGAGAGAAGAAGGTCCATTTTTTGTTCGGTGGGATTGAAAGATCTGCCAGTGGACGGGGGAGCTACAACACTGGAAGCAGAAGAAAGGGCTTGCGGAATCTTCCCTGTCTTCGTGGCAACAGGACTTTAGTTTGCGAGAGACTTTCTTCCTGTCGTCGCGGACGCAATTCTTGTTGCTGCTACCAGAAAATTCGGAGAACGAAACGATCATAAGTCGTTTGGTGAAGCGGGTCGTGTCGGTGAACAGCTGCAGAATGTTCTGCCGCCGTGGAACAGCATTCCAAACACTTCCCTATTCCGTTGACAAGCGCGGCGTTCGCGGGTGTACATGTAATGCATTTTCGCATCAGCTTGCAGTAGATCGTCAGGAGCCAGAGATACTAGATAGGTGTCGTTGTGGACAGAATAGAATTATGTTGTAGCTGACAAGTGACAACTGACATGCTTGTAGTGTCTCTTGACCATGCTGATCGCCATTGTAACATGGTAGATCTTGGAAAATTTTAGTTCTGGACCCAGTGATCGCAGCCAGCACTGTTTCCGTCAAGTTTGCAGTGAATGTATCCGTGAGGAATCCATCATCTGGGTGTCTCTACCCATGGCTCCAACCGCCTATCGCAATGGATAGCTGCCTGGAGTCTTGGGGTGCTAGCTGCTAGGCATCAAGTTTGAATCAAATAATTGTATGCTCCTTGCAATGAAAGTTGTGATGTTTTGTACAAGTTCGAAGATCCTTGAATTTTTTTATTGCTTTTAAGGATGAATTGGTTGGACCATCCTGGACGAAAAGTAGTACTCAAACTTCTTTTCCGCCAAAAAGTTACGAGGCATGACCAGTGATGCACACCAATAGTCGAATAGTAATAACGTTCGTTCGAAGAGCTGTACAATCATGTTCTATGTGTGACATGCATGCTAGTTTTGTTCGAGTACATGTGGACCCTGCGCTAGCGGCAGTAGAGCTAGGGTCGCTGCTACAGATTACAGTACAGCGGTTACCGTACGTGTACTTGACGAATCCGGCCTGTGTGAGCGCGCGCCAAACAGTTAGTAGTAGTAGCAATAGAGTGCCGGCACTGTAGTACAGTTGCGAAGGGCACGTGTAATTGTACGAGTACAGTGCCCACACTATGCTTCACTTCGTGTACAACTTTCCGTACAAAGGCTTAATTCGTTCATCGCAGCACGCTCACTGCGTTCTTGCATCGTAGAATGTGCAACAGTCACTGCAATTGAGCAACAAACGACACCATCAACATATTGTCGCTTGCCGCTGCTGCTGCCCAGTTTGACTTACGCGCCGTTTGTAGTTTGCACCTTCACAAGAAATACTTATGTTCTTCTTCGTAGTTTGTAGCAGTTCCCGGTTAGTTTCGAATCGTATCAGTCCGCTTTGCTTAGTTTCAAGTCAGTAGAAATTCGTGATGTCGGATCGTAAAGCTAGCTCCGTGTGGGAGAGTTTTGAGAGACTTGAGACTTCTGTTTCCGATGCAAGTCCATAAAATAATTCATCCTGCGCATGGAACGCTAGGATGTAGTCTTCTTCCGCTCCGAAGTACATTAGGTCTTCCTTCGATACATCGTTGACGATCCGTTTTAGGAGACTCAGTGCAACATGGAATCCAAACTCAAACGAATAACCTTACATGTACTTGCAACAAAGAGTTGCATCCAGACCAGTTCAGTCTACCGAGGGGAACAAGAACAGCAACTCGCGTCGCACTCCACTTCGTATTTTGTTGTCGCGGAATTCAAATCGCGATTTTCTCGACTTTTTCCACAAACGCTGTGGTCATGTCTTAGCACGCGCTGGCTCAAATAAACAAGAAAGTAAAGTGTGCTGAAATGGGCTCGTCTGTAAGGGTAGAAGGTAAAATAGTGATTTTTGGGTGAACAGGGCACATTTTAGTGCTCTTTTATTGCTTGTTTTTTGGATGAATTGGGCGCAGCATCCGGGGCGAAAAGTGGTACAAGCGTGGTGGTGCTGATGGTACCGTGTGTGACGCCCCTGGACTCTATAAAGCCCAGTGCCTCAACTGCAGCAACACCATAACAGGTGTCTCCTGTCTGCCAATATTCCGGTGATGGAGTGGTTATTCTGCGGGAAGCAATGACTTTCAGACACACCCGTGACCGTAAACTTGCGAGTCAAGCGGGCTTTCTCATAATACGAGTGCATGTAGTGAAGATGCACTCTCACTTGTTTTGCATTCCTGTTGCCTGTACTGTATGATTTCTTGCTAGCAAAACAAAAGAAACAACAAACTGTAAATGTCACCTGCAGTTACACAACATTTTTTGATGTGTGCTGTGCTTATCGTTGTGCCCAGGAGATACTGCTGTTCTGCCAAGTATCAGTGAACTCGAAGCAGCAGAGCAGGAGGCAGCCAGGTTGGGCGGTACGACCGTCATCCATTTCCTGCACGCGGCAATACTTGGTGCGGCGCGCGTTGGAAAGACCAGCTTGCTGAAGGCGTTGCTTGAGAAGATGCACGATGAGAATGAACTCAGCACGCCCGGCATGCGCACGTCCTACGCAATTACAAGCATCTCTGATGACTGTCGATTCATCGAATGCCCAGACATGCCAGATGCTCTGAGTCGACTCTACGTCCTCACCATGATGTGCAAACCATCCACTTCGAATCATCCCCAAGACAAAGAGACAACACAAGATGACAGAGAGAGAGCCCCAGCAGGAGAGGATCCTGTGGCTGGGACCCATGCAGGACCTATGGAGGACAGCAGTAGCAGCAGCAGCGACGGGCCAGCAATGCGCGAGGAAATCCACAAGACCATCGCAGGATTTCTCAACGCAGACCGGGTAAAGTACATCTCTGACCGGGCCAACACGCCCGACTATACCGTCATCACATTCCGCGACCTTGGAGGGCAGCAAGTCTACCAATCCGTGCAGCCCCTCTTCATGGCCAAAAACACAACCTTTATTGCCACATACAACTCTTCTCTGGACCTTCTAGAGACCCTTCCCAAGCTCGATAAATTTCAGTTCAGCCAGGAAGAATGTATCGAGCGGGCCACTCTACCGGCCAATGCGACTCGCCTAGACCAGCTGCTAAGCTGGCTCGACATGCTGCTGCTGAATGCGAAAGCTGACAGCAGCACAGACCAGAGTGCTGCAGATGATGTGTTTGTAGTGGGGTGTCAGAGTGACATGTGGAAGAAAACCGATTTGCCTGATCCTTGTAAACTACTTCGAAAGAATATCGAAGGTTCGCCGTATGAGAACCTTGTCTGGAACGAAACATCGTACTTCAAAATCGACAGCACCAGATCCACTGGAAGTGCAGCACAAGCAGATGAGCTGCAGCGATTGAGAGAGGCCATCATCGACCGCTGCCGGAAGAGCCAACGTAACATCCCTGTTCCATGGCTCCGATTCTGCATAACCATACACACGCTCAAGCAGGAGGTCACGTGGCCTTGGATTCCCTTCAAGGAGGCAAAGTTCATAGCGAAGCAAGTCAAGGCTGTTCCACATGACTGCAGTGACCGGCAAATACAGCTGCTGCTGAAGTACTGCCACGAAGCAGGCCACCTGGCGTACTTCCCAACTTTCAAGCTGAAAGACACGGTCATCCTGGAGCCCCAGTTCATCCTGGACTGTGTCAATGCCTTTGTCTACATGAAGCTTGACCGAGACATCACAGTGCACGAAGCGCGGCGCTATCATTCTGGGTTCATGACAGAGTCCCTGGCACGCAAAGCTCTCAACAAGATGTTCGAGGGTCAGTCTTACTGCGACCATGCTAAGGCGTGGCAAGCAGTCAGAGCAAGCAGTGATGGGTTCAAGCTCATTTTTGAAATCCTAGAATGGCTCTCAGTCCTGGTAATTGTGCAGGATGAGAGGTCTGCTGAGCACGAGTTTATTGTACCTGCAATCGTCCAGGACATGGGCACGGACGAACAGCCGCCTTGTTCCTGTGCCTACGTGTCCTTTAAGCACACACACCACGATGAGTTGATGCACTTTCCCGTGTTCCTGTACTGGCAATGCGTGGTGGAGGTGCTGCTGAAGTCACACAAGCGCTCGGCTGCCACGCTGTCACGGTGCAGCGTTCGCCTTCGCTGGAAAAGCGATTGGCCGTGGCTGCACCTGCACTATACACGCTACGGCTTACAAGTGTACGTCGAGTGCAAGGGCCGACACGGCGGCAGCGGAAAGTCTACGCTGGATGAAGTCCGGGCAATCGTGCTCACAGTGCTACGGAAGTGGGGCCTGCAGGTCGAAGTGATCAGCACATTGCCATGCCCCTGCGGAGAAACATCGGGCGAGGAGTGTTTACGGCATGGCTTATCTACGTGCTGCGCACCGAGCTGTGCGCACGCCTTGGACGCTTCCACTCTAGTGGCTGAAGGCTACCCACTGTGTACACGTTCAAAGCCGGATATACAGATGATCCGTGAGCAGGCCATGTTCTGGCTGGGCCTTGACCAGGTGAGAGACTTGACCTGATTGAATTCCCTC